TAAATTCATTTTACACCTTTGTTGCTACTGTTATCATTGTAATTACAGCTCCTGATGATGATGGCAAAGTCCATTGAAAGCTAGAGAGAATTAAAAAAAGTATAAAGAGTCCTCTTTGCTTAAATCTTGTCGAAGTACCCAACAAAAAGCGGAAGCTTTAATTTTTCACCTATACGTATATATATATATATATATATATATATATATATATATATATATATATATATATATGTTATAATAGGTGATTCTTGATCTCTATCATTTCTTGTACTGTCGGATTTCAAGTGAAGTTCAAATGAATTCTTACAGTACGCGCAAAATGAGGTAGACCACCAACATACATAAAAACATGTCTCTTCTTACACTCAGAGAGGTAGTTCTTTCAATAATTCGGGTGAAAATATTGTAGAATACGAAGCTAGCTATCTCCGTTTACTTCAGTAGGAAAACTATATTGACCAAATAGAGAGTTACCAATAATTCATATCCGGACGTAAATTTTAAATTTCCATTGAAAATGTCTTTCTGAAACTGCATGCGTCGGGTAAAACATGACTTATTTGTAAACAAAATTTTCTCTTGAAATCACCTCAGCTGCTCTGCGTACTGGTATATTTTATACACAACTCAATAAGTGGTGGGCAGTATGCAATAATTCCTGGACATGCTCAACGTGAATAAAACGAATGAGTTGTTCATTTGTGATCCGGTCAACAGTACCATTTTAAACTTCTTCATGTTCTAATTTACGAATGCTGATACCTGAATCTTGTCAACCATTTCAAGAACAGCTTCTTCTACTAACGGTGTTCGGCATGTAAAAAACCTATAAAAGGTCAAAAAAAATCATCTTGCAAACCAGGTAGTTTTAAGGGCGCAAACAGTCATTCCACGGTTGCTCACTAGGATCGTTGTGAACGTCCATCTAAGGAGGAATCACTCAACTAAACTACACGCATTATTGGTTGCATATGTTTTGTGAGGCCAAATGGTTCTTATCTGTAGCTTTTATCTCTGAAAAGAAAGTTGGTTGAATAGCAAGATCGCAGCTGGATGATTATGTGTATTGGTCTGCATGTGTATAAAATCAGTGATATTTGTTGTGTGAGAAAATCATTACTGAATATGCTGCCAATTAAGTATATCTATTGGCTGTGCCCGACGGATTATTTGTGTGTTGTGCTTTCTGAAGAAAGGTTATGTTCAAAGTTATAAATTACGAAAAACTGAGGAGAATTACAGGAAATCATCACCGCACCCGCCTTGTGTGTAATTACTGTTAGCATGTACGTATATGGCTTGTAATTCGACAGTGTATAGTGAATATAGTTATTTCTTATCTCTCATTTTTGAAATTCAGCAAATTTGTATATGTAATTTCCAGAATGGATAAGAAAAAGTGGATGCGCAACTAATTTCTAGCTTTGAATCTCAATTAAGTGTATTTGAGACAAGAACCCAATGTAATTATCATCAACACATACAACTTACAGCTTAGACCTCCAGTAATACCATCTCAGAAGCAGATTTTACATCACATCAGAGCCAAAGATTACTAACAAGCCTCGTGACGTTTAGGCAACACGTACAACTAGGTGCTAAGATAACATTTTGTACTAAAACCTACATAATGTCAAAAAAACACCATAATGTCAAAAAAATCGGCATAATGTCACTTTTCAAGATAAGTGAAACCCGTGCGAGTTTGTCGTGATTTCCCAGCATTGACTCTTAGAGGTTGGAATCGACCAATTTCTCAAAGTTGGTGTTCTACGCTCGCACGATGAGAAAATCGTCGATTTGAATATCTCTCTTGATACAAGCGAAGACATTTTCCGCAGTTACCTTCGCAGAAACCAAGTACTAACTACATGTTAGTCGGTTCATCAAAGGAATATTCACGAGAAAAACAAGCAACAACAACATCTTAACCAAAAATCAGCTCAAACGTTAATTAGCTCAAAATGTATGGTGAACAAACAACAAATTAACAATTAAAATAAACTCAATCATTACTTATTAATTTAAAGTTTATAAAGCTTGCTGTCAAATATGATCTGACACTGACATAATATCCCACATTTCCGCCAAGTAGATGCCTACTAGATTTTAACACGTGATGTAGTAAGACATTTTTTTAGATACCAGCTCCGGAATGGTTATTTACCTAACAAGTGCGGAAGTGATACTTTTCCGCACGCGACGGCAGTTGCACGAACGATGCGAAGCGGAGCTCGGGCAAGCCGTCAGGGGTGGTGAGGTAGTACTCGTAGAATAAGTATCCTTTTTATTTTCTAACAATTTGGCTAAACACCCTTCAGCCACAGATGTAGACTCCAGCAGATGTGTCTCTTGATGTCGGAGATAGTGGCACCAGAGTCCGCCAACATTGTTATAGAAGATCGCCGAACTATTTAATAAGAATAACTCGTAGTGAGTACTTTCCGCACGCTGGTAGAAAAAACATTTTTTTTCTCCAAAACTATAACAAACGAAAAATGAGGTAAATAAAATGGTCTTTTTAATAAAAAAGATTTAGAGTCTTTGGCATGGTTGCTAACAAATTCTGCTATAGTTTATGTGGAAGTGGGGGCATTTTGACATTTTCTAACTTTTTTGGATTTTCTGTGAAAGTCAAATTTGATGCGTTCCAAATTTCATTCATAACGGACTATCGGTTCCAAAAATACCATAAAAAAGTGTTCAGAAAAGATAACTTTGTCGCCCTCTAGTGGACAAACAAGGCACTTTTGCATAGAGGTAAATCATATCCAATTGATTTATTTCGAGTCTAAAAATACATGGTACTTTCATGTCCACGGAATATTGGGACAAACTTATAGTGGACGGCAAAGCGTCTACAGGTTGTCAAAAATGTGAAAAACAGTTACATAAAAATACTGGTTGTATGATAGTCCGCTGGTTCATACGGATGTAGTGATGCAAAGTTTCGTTACTTTTTAGGACTTGTAAGGACTCGTTACTTTCGAACTTTGGACTCGTTAGTTTAGTTACTATTTGGACATTTCGTTTAGAACCTACATTCTATATATTATATCAAATTATTACTTTGGGATTGATCCAATTATTATTTTTTGTCTAATGCCTTGCCTATTAATTTTTTTGATATTTGATACGTAGAAGGTACTTATATTTTAAACTCGTCGTTAGTTCGTCGGCTGTACGCTGTAAATAGTATTTAAGAAGTGGCATAACCAGATGGGGACCGTGGAGGAACCACTCTCCTCACTCTTTACTTTAGTTGAGTAGCGTCTCCTGCCCTAACAGTCTGGTTACTCCCTTGCCCTACTTAACAGTCTGGTTACTCCACTGTAAATGGTGTTCAACAAAATACTTATAATAATAAAACATACCTGAAACTAAGTTCTTTTTGCACCTAGGCATATTTACGTCTTCCACCCGCCGTTTTGCCCTTTCTCCTTCCAATGAAAGAGTCGGATTTTTAGTTTTCAAATGCTTCCTTAAATTGCTAATGTTTCCATTTTTATGCGAATAAATATTTTTACAAAGATTAGACTTTGCATTAGCTTCCGATATATTGGTGAAATGCATCAAAATAACACTTCTTTTTGGAGTTTGCGATTCTCCTGAACCGGACGCGGATGATTCCATATTTTTGTAGAAATAATAATTATATTATTGCTCGAGCTTGTACGGCAACGTCCAAACCAGTAACAACCCGCCAACCGCTAGCTCTCAAAGTCAAATGAAAAGTGTACAGGTATACACAAACATTGCCAACCTAAAGCTACGCAGTCCGCAACTCGTTTGATAGAAGAGTATCTAAAGTTGCCTAAGCCTAACGATATTCGCATCATTTCATTTCCACCCAGTTTACATCCAAGAACCAAGTCACTTGCTGCTGGCGCTGGCAGTACTGGCTACATTAGATCCCAGTAACGTTTGTATCTAAAGTAATGTATAGTGTAGTAACTAACAGTAATTAAAAAGTATACATAGAAAAAGACCGTATCGCATTCAAAGTAACGAATTCAAATAAAAAGTAACGAGTCTTTTCAAAAAGTAGGACTCGTTACATTTAGTTACTCATTTGTAACGATTATTTTGTAAGCGTTACTTAATTATTTTACATCACTATACGGATGGGCCATCAATAAATAACCCAGGCAGTAACTCGGCAACCTGGAGCTATCGGTTAAGAAAGTTTATAACAAAAGTGGCCAAAAATTGTTGGAAATTATTTTCAGCTTAATAAAGTGGCCGCTGGAGGGCGTAACCCCAAGCTCAAAATTAGGAATGCCGTTATAAAATTTAAAAAAAATAGTCGCGATCGAGAATGTCAAGGTGTCCTTATCTTAATCTAACGCCCTTGAGAATTTTAAAAAATCGATTTTTTTCTTATTACTCCGATCAGCTGCCTCAAACTTACCCCCCTGTAAAAAAGGCTTATATATGGTAAAGACACTCAATAGGATATCCTCTCCTACTATTTGGAATGTAAATATTAGTGGAAGGCAATTATTGACAGTTGAAAAATTTTAAGGTCAAACTTGAAATTGCATTAACGGGTTCTGAAAGCCTTTTATGTGTAAACGTGTTTCTCCTAGATGTATACAAATGCATTAAGAACATCCGAACAAGCTAATAAGGATAAAATTCATGCTTTCCCCAAATACTGTAGTAAAGTCTTTGATCACTATCAAATTCATATGCAGAGGCACTGGATCTCTGAGGAATCATAACAGAAAAGCTACGAATAAATTTAATTACATATATATTCCTATCACTAAATACAAATAATCACAAATAAATAGTAGTTAGGTAACGCAAAGAGAATACGGATATCTAATTTATTTTAAAGCTATTTGCTCAAAATCAAAGGGACTGGTCTACGTATATAATATTATTTCTTCATATTATCAGTTTTCTCCCAGATCTAATGTGAATATTGAATCTCTAAAAATTATATGAATTCACATACCAAAGAAAACTTAACAGTAGAGTAGATGCTATAAGAACTAGTATCCTCTTCTAAAAGCAAAACCTGGCAAAAACGCATTGGTCGCCGCTACATCCATGTCATCTTTCTCCATATCAGCAGATCTTCTGGTCCTCCTAAATCCTTTCCTAGCAAACGCCGGTAAAAAAGCATGGGTTTCAGCTACGTCCATATCAGCATCTTCTAATTCGCTAGCAGATCTCTTTCCTCGAAAGCCTCTTCTTGCGAATGCCGGAAGGAAAGCGTGAGTTTCTGCTACCTCCATATCTGCCTCTGGAGCCGCTGCCGCTCTTCTAACTCTTGGATTAGCAAAGATGGTAACATCCACATCTCCATCAGCTGATCTTTTTGAGATCCTCTCCATTCCAGTCAAGTCCACGTCGTTTTGAGTGTATAAAGATCTCTTGGAAATTTTCTCCACTCCAGTGAGGCCATGTTCAATATCATTATATAAAGACCTCTTGTTTCTGTCTTCTGCTGACCGCTTGGAAATCTTCTCGGAACCAATCAGATCGATTTCATTCGGTGTAAACAAAGACCGTGTTGGTCGTTTCTTTTCCGTCGGGGATGCTGTGACTAGCACTGCCAAGGCAGCTATGATGAAGAAAAATTTCATTTTAAGAAGCACTATGGATGATAGCACTTGATGTAACACTTTTCACGAACAAAACAGAAATCATGTGAAGATCGGAATATTAGGTACTTATAGCTGTTGAGGTGTTAATTCTGTGGTAAATTCGTTATTCGTTTGACGTTCTTGGGAGCCAGATTTTTGCAGATAAGCAAGGTTATAATTGAGAAAGTAAATAAACAATTGAAACATGCGTCAATGTTGGCCCAATGGGTGTTTCCACAATTTTAGGAATTTAAAGAAGAAACAATTACTTGGAATAATAGACAAAACGTTAAAAATGAAAAGCGAGGAAAATATGAGGCTTCACAAGGAGGTTTTTCGGGAGGTTTTTTTTTGTTGCTGGTATCTATGAACAGGTTGCATTAAAATATTTCATAATAAAGGTACTTTAATTGTTTTCCAGCATTTCTCTTTCTGGTTTAATACTTGACTGTTCGTCGGCCTTTTGCACTTCTGGCGTTTTTGTCCAAAATTCATCCATTTCCAAATTCTTGATTTTTATATGAATAACACTTTCAACTAAAAGTGTTCTCCCACTACGCTCGCAATAAAGTGTTTTGTATCTCAATGTATTTTATTCTAGGTTTGAAGTGTTGCGACCAGGTATTCTAAAATGGCTCAATTTTGGACAAAAATGCTAAAATTGAATTTTTGAGCTTCCAAATAAGAATCAGGTATTAAAATAATAATGAAGGTTCAAAACACATATGTTCTGAAAATGTTTAAATGCATTTCTTTGTACCTGAACCACCACGAAAGCATAAACGCCCGTGGGTACCGTGGGGCTACAGGGAAAGGGGGGATGTTACACGCCTTAGAGATCCGTCGGGTGGTACCTCCACGCTCCGTCTACCACCTATCTAAATGCATAGAATCCATATATAGTATCATCTCAAAATGTGAGTTATTTTCAGCGTCGCAAAACCCTCTCTAAGACCTTGATCCTTACTTACCATCCTTCTGACAAGAAATTCTAACTATCTCCCTGATACATGATTTTCATGAATATTTTTCAAAGTGGTCGACATCTGATTCAAAAACATATTTGTTAACTACTTCCTCAATCTGCAACATTCTAGATCTTTCACTATGCTCACTTGTCTCAGAAAACAATCCCAATATGCTCTAAAAACTTGTAATCTTGGACGCTTACTACCATAAGTCAAACTCCTCATTCCCTTTATCTTAAATTCCTGTTGCCAGGTAATGCAAAGTAGTTACACTCATTCCTTCGTTTCCGTTGGAATACCTAAATGTTGCTAACAGTTTCCAATAATATTTACACAGTGTTCGAGGCAAACTGCAAGCTCACATAATATCGGCACGTTTGTTATTACTTATTGCGATTTGTCATTTTCAGTTTTTTCAAGTCAGATTTCTTGATAAAACAGCTCGGTTTACCTCGACGATAGCTCTTCCACTGAATACATAGGTCAAGTCAAAAGCAGATTCGTTTACGCGTTAGACCAGCACACAAAACATGATCAAAGTCCAGTCCAAGCTAGCCTTCAGTTCTATTATCAATTATCAGTAAGGTAATAAAATATCTCAAACCTCCAAAGAGGCTTTGCAAATAGGTAGCTAACGATATCAATATGGGAGTCCCACATGAACGGCTTTTATCTCTAACACTGTTTCTGCTCCAAGTGGATGACCTCCTTTAGAGTACGAAAAGATTGGAGTCTGACTTAGTGCTAGTCAATATAAAATGACTCTTCAAATGTCAAACAGTATATTACTACGAGTATTACATGATCAGTCATCATAGGCAGTAGGAATGGTAACACTGCCTGGATGGCCTAATGAAGAGATTTGGCCTAAAATTTGACTCTTTATTCTCCGGTTTGTCAAAACACACAAATGTTGGAACACATTCTGACGGTTAATATCAATGAGTAGTATCCTTACCAGGTATCACGAATCCAGAGCTGCCATTTATACTGCACCTACTGTATATCTGTGGTTGTTCTGGAAGATATGCTCTTTCTAAAAAACTAGTCTTACGATATACTAATGTATGGCAAATATGAAGATTGTTATTGTGTGTTCTACATCGCAATTTGAACGTTTCCATAAGGTGTGGGTTATTATACCTGCTGTTTCTACTAGCTGAACCATTTTGTTGGCTATCGCTCCGTTTCTGATAAAAAGCCTAAATCATAAGCAACCGGCAATGATGACCATCAGGAGCCATGAAAGTTTACGATGAACTGGTTGTCATCTTAGAAGACTAGTAGGCCGCAAAGACCAGTTAACACTGTTCTTAAGGTATGGTCCTGATGTAAGTAAATAAATAGCATTTATTGCCCAACAGTTAAGGAAACCGTTTACAGGGCCATCCTAAAATAAATCGAAATTACCAAAAGAGAAAACACATAAAAAGCAGGTGATTTCATCTAAAGAAAAAAAAACAAGAAAAAGAAGCAAAAAACATATTTCACTCAAGTGAGAAACATATCATAAACTCTCTAAGCAATTTGTAGCTACTCCCAGAATGCTGTTCAAACTGTCAGAATGTATATCACAATAATTTGATATCGCATTGAAAGTTTCACACATCACATATATGGGTGCGCTCAAAAACAAAGATAGCTAATAAGATCGCTAATGCTATATTCGACCTTACTTACATTGCCGAAGATTAAATAAGAGACCCTTTCATAGCTATGACAACGGTAGCTGTCAATTTGAACCTTAGACTTTTTGACTAGGTAGTTATACAAAGCTTTAAACAGAACGATCTCAAAATTAGGTTGAAATACCCCATTCGGTAACACTACAGCGTTCCACGCAATTTTTATTTTATAACGCTGTTTGCATTTCAATAAGCATAGTTATTTTCCACATTGTTCGAGAATTAGAAGGTTTGAAATTGTTTAAACATCGCTGAAAGTAAAAAATCAATACGTTATACCTAACGCGCCAAACAGAATGTCAATAAATAGAATCATTGGCAACATTACGTTACCGATGAATAGAAAAAAGATGGTTCTAAAAAAGTAACCGTGTTAGCATCCCAGGAAAATATTTTCCACGACAAAAGAAAAATTAGTCAGACTGATATCCAGCTGCTGCCTTTGTCATGATTCTTGAAATCAGAAAACGTAATAATGCCAGTGAAATCACTCTGGCTAATATTTGTGACACGAGTGGATTTTATATTATGGATTAATAAGGTACGTGGATGACTGTTTTTAAAATAACTTCAGCGAAAAAGCTACAAGGCTCTCTATCCCTATAGCTTGGAAATTATTGCTCGGATTATACTCGTAATACATTTTTGACACAAAGCTGCTGCAATGCCAATGATAGAACGTATTAAATGGTTTCACCAATAAAGGAACAGGAATTGGTAAAAAGGGAAAAGTTGACAGCGCGGAGAAACTTAATTTCTGAAACGTCTCCGGAGCTGCCGATTATTTTATGAGGTAGTATAAAAGTTCATGGGGTCAACACCTGACTTGATGCGAAAATTTGTTATTTGACGTTTCTTTACTTTCTGATTATTTCGGGCCATAGTGGAAATATAGGTTGCTAGAAAATTCTAAGACTAGTCATACCTTCTATGGTTGCGTATTTTGACAGCAATTTATGGGTTGAGTGTACACATAAGAATAGATATTAATGTACCTACTTGGTTTCATTTTTTTCTATTCAGGTTTTATATAATTCTCGCGAAAAGGTTAGAATTTTGTCGTTACGCAAAATTGTGTAGCTATGAACAATTAAATTGGTTGCATCGTCAGAAAAATAGCGTCAAGTAAGTTGACTCTATACTTCTCACGCCTTCGAAACAGCTTCTAGTACAATTTTCCATTAAGTGCAGCGGCATCAAAAAGACGTGAGTTTTTCAAGAACCATTAATGTACTCTTTGCTATTTAATACCTCACATTGCTACAATGAGCGTCTAGGTCTGGAGCTCTGGTGTAAAACCGTTTGTCTACAATGTTTGATGACATTATAATAGCTCTTGATAGGTACTTATATGTACTATATTACCTCATCAAATTATAGTGTAAGCATAAGGCTCGTATATGTAGGGTGTTTGGAAGGTCGATAAAAAGTCTTGGGCAGGTGATAGGGCAGACCAGTTAGAATTTTTTAAGCCAAAAATACCTCAGTTCAAAGTCTTACGGTTTTCGAGTTATTCGAGGTTTTCAATTTTTATTGAAAAAAAATGTGCCTTTTGTTCCTGTTAGCACTGAAAGAACATCAGGATATATGATATAGTTTTTAAATACCTGACAGTCTAGTTTTTTCCGAAGGTAGAGAAAAGAAGAACAAATTGACTGTAAACAAATAATAAACACATGTTTTCCTATTTTTGTGATACTGATAAGAAGTAACGTGTTTGCGTGCATGATAAAACTAAACTCCACACACATTCTTGCTTTATTCCTTTCCAAAGAAGTTAATAGTAATTCATGAATTTCAGTCCACAAATCAATTAGTTTGTGAAATGGCCGCTTTCACTAACGAAGAATAGACAGATATCGTTTACATGCATGGCAGAGCAGATGGTAATGGACTAGAAGCACGACAGTTGAACCAAGAGCGATTTCCTGGGAGAAGATTGCCTAATGTTACAGTGTTTTACAATACTTACAGACGTCTTTACGAGACTGGAAGTGTAACAAGTAATGGACCTGGTGTTAATCCAGGTCGATATCCTCCTGAAGCCGAAGATCTTATCCTCCAAGCGTTTGAAGATGATCCCACTACAAGTACTAGGAAAGTTGCGGCGTACAAGGACTTGAAGATGGTGATCCTATTCTCAGAAGCCAATTTTGACGTCTTCTCCTACATATTTATATTGAGAATGAACGGTTCCTGGAAAGCATTCTATCTACGGATGAACCAATTTTTCAAAGGAGGGCATTACAAATTTTCACAATTTGCATCAATGGGCTGATAAGAAGGAAAATCCACACTGGAAAAAACAGGTGTCTTTCCAGCACAAATTTTCCTTTAATATATGGGCCGCCGTCGTGGGACAAGGACTAATCGGTACTCATTTTTGCCTGAGGTGGACCAATTCCGTGGCCTGCTAGATCGCCGGACCTGACACCATTGGATTTCTATGTCTGGGGGGCTAAACAGTTAGTTTACACTGAAGAAATCGTATCAAGAGACCATTTGAAAAGAAAAATTCGAGAAGCTTTTTATTTAATGCAGCAAGACAGGTTATTAAATACAACAACTACCGCAGTAACACGTAGAGCTCGAGTATGTGTTAGAAACAATGGTTGTCACTTTGTACACCAATAAAGCATGTTTCAATAGTTTATTTTGTTTCGTTTACTAATTTATGATTTATATTTGAAAATTCGAATATTTCGAGAACCGTAAGACTTTGTACTGTGTGAGGTATGTTTGGCTTAAAAGACACTATCCCCTCCCCAAGACTTTGTATCGATTTTCCAAACACCTTGTATAGATAATATCACGCCCACCTTGTATGTGCTACCTGCTTCTAGAAATCCCTCGGCCCCACTACCAAAGGCGCAATCTTTACAATCTTGTGGTGTACGGAAAGTGCTACCGATAGGTACGCGATTCGATTGCTAAAATCATTTTTCTGAGTTTTAAGGACAAATGTATGGAAAAATTTATAATGTGCAGCATATTTCTAATAGGTGCGTAGAGTTCCCGGAGTTGTAAGTGCATCAATATACTAGCACCAGAAAATTGCGTTAGATCCGCACCCACACCCCTACAACTCATTTTTTTCGTCCTTGGCATGTTTATCCGCTGCCAAACCTTTTTCGTCCTTAGCATAGTAGTAAAACTGTAAGTGTAAAAATTTCATCCAAATCCGTGCAGTAGTTACAGACAGACCAAGGATTTACGGACAGACAGACAGACAGATTGACGTGATAAACATGTCATATAACATCAAAAAAAACATCTCATTTTCGAAATCTTTTGCGTTTATAATATGAAAGATCGCCGCTAGGCGTGAGAAGTAAGACACATACGAATCATCCATGGAGATAGTGATGCGTCCGAAAAGATAGCATGAATTCAGACCGAATGACGATATGATTACATAGTGAGCACATCTCAATATGTCTTATATAAATTTGTTATATAGCTTTGGTTCGCCAAAGGCCAACCATAGACAGCACCTTCATGCTATTTGGCAACTCTTCAGCATGGTACAGGCCTGGTTCCAGGTGGGACAACGAACGAAAGCCGAGTATAAGATATATCGCAGTAAGACACACAAAGTACCTGAATCGACCACCGCGAGAGTGAAAGCAGCAAGCTGTCTGCTTCAACTTTCGATTCTGGTAATAGATGGCAATTTGTGCCGTCTTATTTCGATATCGAAAAGCGGGTCGATTCTTCTACAGGAGAACCCCGATTATCCGAATCGCGATTATCCGATATCCGCTTTATCGGAAACAGATCGCATACAATAATTTCTCCGGTTTAACCGAAGTTGTTCGAGATTTCGGCGCATGATCCGAAATAGCCGCCGGTAGTTCCCCTTTCGGCGTTTGTGTCATTAGATTCGCTGCCGGCGATTCGCCAAGCGCGTTTGCGGAATTCACTGGGATGTGTGCGTGTATGTTTGTTTCAGTCAAGTTCATAATCGCTAAGATGGAGCAGCATTGAAATAAACGTAAACGCGTTGTTATTACCATAGAACATAAACTTGAGGCAATCAGACATTTAGAAAGAGGTTATTTGCTTAAAAACGTGGCAAGTAATTAGGGTGTGTGCCATTTTAGAATGGAAAAAACAACGCAAGAAAATTGGAAAAGAGGTCTAGTGTTCTGAGATCATCGCAGCCGTCATGAAAAACTATAAAAAGGGGGAATATCAGAAAGAGGGTGATACTTTATATCTGTAGTTTACACAGAACCTAGAACCTGGAATACCAATTTCCGGACCAATTCTAAAGCAAAAGGCAGTCAACTTAAGTGAAGAATTGCTAGTTATTGAGGCGCCTGCGCACTTTACAGCCAGTGATAGTTGGCCGCATAGATGGAAAAAACGACACGGTATACGAGAATTAAAAGTTTGCGGAGGAAAGCTATATGCCGATAAGTCCGCTGCATTAAAATTTGGAGGACATTTTAAAAAATTAATGAAACAGTATGGCTCAAATCCAGAACAATTTACAACTGCGACGAGACGGGCCTAAACTATAAAATGTTACCGGCGAAAAGTTTAGCTTCAAAACAAGAATCTTGAGCTCCTGGTTACAAATGCAGTAAAGAACGTGTGACTACCCTTGCTTGCACACAAACTTCCTTTGTTGTTACATAATCGGAAAATTAGCTAAACCAAGAGCATTTAAATACGTCCGTCCCAACGCTCTTCCAGTGTGGTATTACAATCAGTTTGTTCCCAATACAGAACGCGGATATCCGAGAAAATGTATTTTGCTATTAGACAATGCTCCGAGCCACCCAAGTGAGAAGCTATTTAAAAGTGGAGAAATACGAGTGATATTTTTGCCTCCTAATGTAACGTCACTGATTCGGCCAATAGATCAAGGAGTTTTAGAAAATTTGAAATGCAATTACAGACGTTTGTTATTAGAGCAAATTTTAGATCAAGTTGATAATGTTTGAAACCTCGTGGATTATTTAAAAGAAATGGAACCTTGCTCAGACTATGAGAATAACAGCAAAAATTTACATGAGCTGGTCTTAAAAATAGCAGGGCGTGAAAATCTTACCCGAGCAGATGTTAGTGAGTGGATTAATGGTGATGAATTGGCGGAAGAATTAACTGATACAGAACTAATGAAAACTGTTTGTAACAATGGCGATGGGAGAGTTATAAGTGATGCTAGTGACAATGAGACAGAAATCTCTGCCAAAATGTCACATTCTGAGGGATTAGAAGCTCCACATGTTTATATTTTACGTAACTTTATATAGCTATATGTATATATTCACTTAACACACGCATTTACTTTTTTCGTTAAAAGCAGTCTAAATATTTATTTCCGTTTTATCCGAAATTTCGATTATCCGAAAGCACTTGGGTCCACTTTATTTCGGATTATCGGGGTTCTACTGTACTTTCAAACAAGCAATTTCTAATCAACAGATACTATATACAGTCATCCATATGAATTAATGAAATTCTGCCTTTGATCTTGTCTGCTATACAGAGTGTTTCAGTTTATTGTTGCATAACTTTAAGATTCTATAGAACTTTTAAAATTAATGCATAAAGTCTATATAAACATAGTGTATTAAAATGACCGAAAAATTTTTCTTAGTGCAATTTTTTGCTTTTTGAATGAAAAAACTGATTCTGCGAACTTTTCAACATAAAAAAGCTCTCCTGTGAGTTTTCGTTATAGTTAGCCGTTTTTTAGATATTTCGATTTTAAAGGTTCGATGCATTTTTAATTACTTATGGGAAAATAATATTTTTTTTACATTTTCGATTTGGGCATTACAAGTAATTAAGATGATCGTTTAGATTGTGTTTTTAAACACAGCAATAATTCCTAACTCCAAATAAACACAAAAAAACAGAATATTAATTTGTTTAATTTTCTAATATTATTTTTAACAGATTAAGTTAATTATTTACAACTAAGATGCTATTGGATAGTTAGGACAAACATACAAAATGTACAGTAGTTGCTCGAAATGTAAACCCAATTGTTCAATGCACAATTCACATCTATGAATGATCGAACATGGTATAGCATTATTCAAATAAGGCCTTATTTCATCACATGCATTCCTGATTCTGTCTATTAGCATATCTCTTGTGGTTACGGGAGTCTGGTGCACTTTTTCTTTTAGAAATCCTCACACAAAGAAATCTAATGGATTTAGGTAGGGGATCGTGGAGGTCAGGCGACTGGTCCTCCACGGCCGATCCATCTTTCTGGATAATTTAAGTCCAGCCAGTTTCTAACTATTCTCGAATAATGAGCTGGACAACCATCAAGCTGGAACCAGGCCAATCTTCTTAAATCTAACATAACATCATCCCACATATTTGCATGTTCAGCCTTTAAAAATTCCAAGAAGGTCGCAGCATTTAACCTTGCAGGCAAAAGGTAGGGTCCAAATAGTCGATTACGGTAGATACCAATCCACACGTTCACACTAAATTCATGCTGAAAATTTCTTTCCCGAACTGCATGCGGATTGTCATGCGACCAAATATGTTGATTATGAAAATTTACCACTACACGTCTAGTGAAGCATGACTCATCGGTCCATAAAACGTTACTTAAAAACTCCCTATTATTATCAGTTCTATCAAGAATCCACTGCCAAATTGTGATTCTTCGTTCTCCGTCCCCTGGCTGTAGTCCTGGCACAGGTTGCAAATGGTAAGGACGTCTATGGTCATTTCTAAGAACACGGTGAACATGGCTTGCTGAAATTCCCAAGGCACCAGAAACTCTCCTAACAGTTGTGGTCGGATCTCTATCAAACTCACGCAGAATCATACGGGTAAATCTGCGCTGAAGAACATTTATGTTTTGATCCCTTTGGAGATTTCCAAAACCATTTTCAATTATTTGACGATGCACTCTTGCAAATACTGAGCGAGTTGGATGTCGTCTGTTTGGAAATCTTCGTGCGTATTCTCTGGCTGCTTCTGCTGCGTTGCCATTTACAAAGCCATACACAAAATGAATATCCGCTAACTCTTGATTGGAGAATAAAAATGGCAAAAAACAGGTAAAAGAAACTAAATTTCGTGCATTCACAATTGCAAAAAAACGTTTCAGGTTTCAACAGACAACAAAACTAACTGTCAACTAATTGACGTTTAACCTTATTCTGCTTTCAATTTCAAAAATATTTGCAGGCACAGCCTACTTCTAAAAATTATCGAGATACTGACTTTTTAACGATATTTTATCATAAATAATTAAAAATGCATCGAACCTTAAAAACCGAAATATCTCAAAAACGGCTAACTATAACGAAAATTCACAAGAGAGCTTTTTTATGTTGAAAAGTGTGAAGAATCAGTTTTTTTATTCAAAAAGCAAAAAATTGCACTAAGACAAATTTTTCGGTCATTTTAATACACTACAGGTACAGTAGAGAGCGCCCTCTAGCGGCTACAGTAAAACTATACCCATGGTTCGTTTTGTCGTACCAAAAAACCTTTGTATACTAATTTTCACTGTTATACATCAAATATTGTTCAAAATATTTAAAAAAAACTATTTTAGAAACTAAATTTAAACACCCTGTATTTCGGAAGCCACGCATTTTTCGACCAATGTTTATATAGACTTTATGCATTAATTTTAAAAGTTCTATCGAATCTTAAAGTTATGCAACAATAAACTGAAACACCCTGTATATGATCGTTCGTGACAATCGGAAATTCTAATGGCACGTTTCTAGTGGTTGAGGCGATCCCAGACCGTAACAAAACAAAACATTTCATGTAACATCTGAGACTTACCATGTAGTTCTCATGATGATTGCTGATAGAATTTGAGATTAAACGACTTACCTAGTAAGGAAGTTCAATCGGAATTATTCGAGGTCCGGTCCACTAGAACACATATTGTAGAATGCGATTCGGTAACGAAGCGGGCCACCTGTGAAAAGTAACATGGATCCCCATCAACAGACCCTGAGCTATACGAATATCTCATTATGCTTTTTATTTGCTAGTCATTTTATTTTTTGGGTATGCGGTACTACGCGTCTAGGATGGGGTGGGATGTGTTCTAGTGGACCGCACCTCGAATAATTCCGATTGAACTTCCTTACTAGGTAAGTCGTTTAATCTCAAATTATTCTTCAGTCCGGTCCACTAGAACACATATTGTAGATGTTTAAAGTACTAAATGAGCTAGCAAATGTCATTATGTAATAACATAAAGAGGAATTAAGGAATAATAAAATTATTAGATATGCATTGAATATAAAGTACTTTAATACAAATTGTGAGAACAAAAATTTTTCATATATTTCCTTAACTTTTTTTTTTATATATATTAATTATGGCAGAACAACAAACAATTAGTTTATATACAATAACAACAACGTAACAAGAAATAGAACATACGATATAGAAACGTCCTTATTCTAAACCTATATGTTATAGACCAACAAACGTAACTAGAGTCTAACACAATATTTTAGTAGGTAGTAATGTAATTAATCCCTGCACGACCTGAGTTGTTTGTTTTCCGTACCAGCTAGTACGCTATTTATGAAAAAACTGCTATCTAACGGCCTGTTATAAAACTTAAAAAACACGTTGGACCATTCTGACCAGCCTACTGTGGCTCTTATAGTTTCAATGTTAGTACCTGATCTGTAGGCTGCAGAAACAACTGCATGCCTAGTACTGTATCCAGAGAATGTACCAGTATTTATTCCAGCCAGGCCTAGAATTTTCTTTAACCACCTGGAAAGAGTTTGAGTCGAGGCTGGATGGTACGGTTTTTTAATGGTCAAAAATAACTCCCGTATATTATTTCTTATGTTCTGACTTCTACTTAAATATTCTATCAATGTGCTAGATAGACATAGTTCTGGGGTCTCTCTAAAGAAGGGGAGTCTCAGTCTAGGTTGGATCCTACCGGGGCCTGATGTTTTTAGGATATCCGGTATTAAAATCTCTATGAAGTCAGTTCTTTGATAAATATTATCTATTTTAATTTTTGAAAAAGTTTGTAATCTTTGTGCTGTGCCTAAGGCGAACAGCATAACCAGCTTATAGGTTAGGTCTGCAAAGCTTAGGGAAGAAAGGGGATGTAAAGATGACAAATATGCAATTACGGGATTTGGGTCCCAAGTTGCTTGATATTTTGGGAACACAGGTTTGATCTTAAATACACCTTTCAAGTACCTACTAATAACTTTCTCATCAACTTCCTTATTTATAATTAAATTAAGAGATGACCTAAACGTATTCAGTGTTGTATAACTAGCACCCTCCTTAAAACTATTATCTAGAAAATCAACGAAATCTGCTGTTGAGGGATTAAAGCAGTCTACTGCTCTACGGATGCAAAATTCCCACCATTTTTATAGGCGGTATTGTATTGTTTCAGTGTATTACGATTTAATGAAGAGATAACTACTTCTAAAGCTGATTCCGTCAGTCTTCTTGGAGCAAGAGCTTCCCTGATAAATTCCTGACACCAGGGTAAGCTTTGGCCAAAGCGGATGTGGTTCCCTATTTGGAGATAATAAAAGATTTCTATTAGGAGTTAAATAAACCAATTTTGACTTGAGAATCTTATTGAAAATTGGGTACCAAGGTTGTGCCCTCCACAGAGGGACCACCATTATCCCCTCCCACTCATCTTTGATAATTTTATTCAACGTTCTCATTATCAAAAAAAGGAGGGAATGCATAGAAAAATATATTTGACCAACTTATCGTAAAAGCATCAACAGCTATTGATTTCGGATCTTTATTCCAGGAAATAAATTGTTTACATTTATTGTTTAGCTGGGATGCGAACAGATCGATGTTAGGAAGGCCAAAAGTGTGAACAATTTTCTTTAAAGCTAAAGAGTTTAACTCGTATTCAGTTTCTGAATTAAGCGACCTTGATTCAAAATCAGCTACCACATTACGAGAGGATTCAATATAAGTTACAAAAATATATATATTTTTAGACTCACACCACTGCCAGATTGCTTTCGACAACTCAGACAATTTCTTATATTTTACACCTCCCATACGATTAATGTAGGATATGGCGGTGGTATTGTCAACTTTTAACAAAATGGAGCAGTCTTTAAGGTCTCTTGCAAAACATCTTAGAGCATTATAGGCTGCTAGCAATTCAAGGTAATTAATATGAAATTTAGATTCCTGTAAACTCCAAAAACCCTGGGTAGATTCTGGACCTGCCGAGGCTCCCCATCCGACATTTGAAGCGTCGGAGTAAATTACCACTTTATAATCCTGAGGCCTAAGCGAGACAAGTGATTTTGGAATTGCTGTCATCCACCAATTTAATTCTCTTTTTATTTGCGAGTTATAATTGTTATTCGAATTTTTCAATGCTAGATATTTATATCTTTCTAAGCATTTTGTGTGCATAAGACCGTATTTTATAGCAGGACAAATCGAGATAAGGTATCCTAAAAGACTTGCAAACTCTCTTATTTTACAACTATTACACTTAACAAATGTGTCAATTTTCAACAAGGTATCATGTCTTTTGCTAGCTGGCAGTGTCATGCACATGTTTATGCTATCATAAAGAAAACCTAAAAATTTGCAAATATTACTGGGTATTAATTGGCTCTTTTTGTAATTTACAACTAAACCCAAGGATTCTAAGAGTGAAGTGGTTACGGTTATATTCGTCCGACACTGATCTATACTATGCCCTAACAATAATAAATCGTCTAAATAATTAACTGACTAAAAACCTTTGTTTCGTAAGAATGAAATAACTGGTTTTAATAGTTTGGTAAAAATATAAGGGGCAGAGCAGAGGCCGAACGGTAAGCAAGAGAATTCGTACAAAACCTTGTTAAACGTAAATCTTAAATATTTCCTATGTTTTTTGTAAATCAGTATACAGAAATAGGCGTCCTTTAAGTCTAGAGAGGCCATATATACTCTGTTGGTAATTATATTTTTAACAATTTTATAATTTTCCATTTTAAAGTGTTGGATTGTTACATATTTTTTTAATTGTTTTAGATTTATAACAAATCTCTGATTTCCGTCTGGTTTCTGTACTAAAAAATATGAAGATAGAAATTGATTTTTACACGGTTGGCATTTATTGATTGCGCCTATTGCTTCTAATTTATTGATTGTTTCTTTAAGGTTCTTAAATTCTATTTTACTGTAACTTTTGGTTTTTGGAAGGACTAACTGTTTAGGAGTATGAAAAAATGGTAAAGGGTAGCCAGTTATACAGCTCAGAATAAATCTGTCATTCGTTATAGATTTCCAAGATTTTTGAAAATACTTTAGTCTACCGGCAAATAAAGCAATATTGTTAACATTTACCTCTACTGAATTTGTCGGTTTCGGTAATTGTATCTGGCTAGGTTCCCTCTCGATGATCTCCATTGATTTCTGTTTCTCTCTTGTATTCGAGGCTCCCTTCTCTTGTTTAGTAAAAACTGACTTTTCCGAAAACGTACAGATGTTTTGGGGCGCTGCCAGTTTAAATGGCTCCTATTGAAGATTTGGCTGCTTGCAGGAACTTTACTCACCTGCAGCTCTACTGCAGATTTATTTATAGTTTGATTAATTTTACATTTCTCCATGAATGTTTTTCCAAAGAGAAAATTATCCATTTTAGATTCTTTGGCTAGTTTTTGCATGTCAGAATCGCATTCTACAATATGTGTTCTAGTGGACCGGACTGAAGAATAATTCCATGTTTGCTGGCAATCATTAAAGAGTATTTATAACATACAGGGTCGGCAGAGAATCATTGAGACATCTTATTTAATGTATACGAGCGATACAGAAACAGAAACATGTAAGAGCGAAAATATGAACAAATCGTGCTCGATGCAAAGGACAACGATCATGATCATTTGTGTTTCTCTCTCTCTATCTCGCTCGTGCACAGTAAATACGGGACCTCACTAATTATCTGGCAATCATGTATGTGGTTTCATTTAGTAGCCAGAAAACATGAAGTTCTCGAATACCTCATCCTTAATCTACAACAGAGCCCTGACCTGCAAAACAATCCTCCATACGGGATTTGGTGGCCACACTTCTAAATGAATTACAATTACTGGTGGAGGGCTCTCAGCACCGCCGACATGTTTGTTACAACCAGTGTGACAGGTCGGCCTTTCATTACGAACCACTTCACAAATTAATTACTGACATACGATATCATTGTTGACGATACAATGTTTGCGTCGAGAAAGAGGGGGGGTCGAATCAAGTCGATCAGACGTCAACAATCGAGATGTATGACGATAACGATCATGGTTGGGGTCGATCGTGTGTTACGTGTGCTCTGCGCATTCAATACAGACTCGTACACGATACTTTTGAAAAGATTTCGACTCAAATATACTCAGGGACAAAGAAAATAGATTACCCGGTAAAAGTGATTTTATTTTAATGGCATTTTTGTACACAGGGTGTTTCACTACTTATCCGACCACATACGCACTGTTACGAAAGAAGTTGATTTCTCAAAAAATGCAATAAAAGTCCTACAGAAATCGAGATAATAAAATAACACTGTTCAACAGTTCACTTACTTATAAGAACTGTTCAAAGCTGTTTGCATTGACTGCAATGCAAGCCTGGGCACGTCTAATCCAATTTTGGCGCACTAGTTCAAATTTACCTCTTTCCTGTTGTGCCTGAAGGCTCAAATTATCGGCAGCCACTGTGATTAGGTCACGCAATTCTTCAGTATTCTTAAATGGAGTACGGTATAGCTCGTTTTTCAAGTATCCCCATGAAAGGAAATCCAGAGGATTTAAATCGGGAGACAGTGGAGGCTATGCAATTAGTCCACCCCTTCCGATCCAGCGAATGTGATATACCTGATTGAAAACCACATCCGTCCTCGAACCGCCAATGGCACACCTTCAAGAAGGACCGGCAAATCATTCCGAAGAAATTACAAATACTGGTGACCATCCATCCGATATAATTAGACCTTCATCGACAATACCTGCCCACACGTTTAAAGAAAAACGATGTTGGAAATGTGTCTGGACCACTGCGTGATGGTTCTCAACCACGAACCAGCCGTGTGTATTATGAAGATTGATTATCTCCTTACGAGTAAAAATAACTTCATCGGTAGCCAAAATATCAGGTGTAAAACGGGCATTTCGAGCATTTTCTTGAAACAACCACTCCCAAAATCTTACTCTTAGGGGGTAGTCTGTAGGTAGCAACGCTTGGAGTCTCTGGACGTGATAAGGGTACAATTGGGCCTCATGTAACACTGGACAACAAATTTTAGTTTTTTAATTGTATCTTGTGGGAAAAGTGCACTTCTTTGTTAATTTTGAGGCGCTGAATCCAAAAATGACAATGAAATAAAAAAATTAGTTGCAGTTTAGAAAAAAAACTTTTTATTTTTAAGGATATATTAAAAAAAGTAACAAGATTCATATACTTATAAGAATCACTATATGCGCTGTCTTTTTGCTGTTCTTTTATGGATCGTTTCTGGAGCATCTCTACCAAGAGTCCAACAGTAGTCTGCAAGCATGGAAGGATTCCACTTTCCCTGGTACCTTTTTTCCATTGTTGAAATATCCTGATGAAAACGTTCGCCGTGCTCATCACTTACGGCTCCGCAATTGTCAGGAAAAAAGTCCAGGTGTGAGTGTAGGAAATGTATCTTAAGAGACATATCTTTTGATACGATGACAGCATATTTTTCACAAGGGTTTTATAGTTGTCAGCTTTTCTATTTCCCAAGAAATTAGTGACCACCAGACGGAAATCATTCCAAGCAGTTTTTTCAATACCTGTTAAAGTGTTTTCAAACTGTGTATCTTTCAAAATATTTCGAATCTGTGGCCCAACAAAAATACCTTCTTAACCTTTGCCTCACTTAGTCTTGGAAATTTCTGACGCAGGTATTGAAAAGCTGACCTATCTCTATCTAATGCCTTGACAAAGTTTTTCATTAGGCCCAACTTGATATGCAGTGGTGGTAATAAAATTTTTTTCGAATCTACTAATGGCATATGCTGTACATTTTTTTGACCTGGCTCTAGGAATTGACGAACAGGCCAGTTTTGTCTGGTGTAATGAAGTGCCTTTGCCCGACTGTCCCATTCACACAAAAACAGCAAAACTTTGTGTAGCCTAGCTGCAGCCCAAGTAAAAGTGCAACAACTTTCAAATCGCCACAAATATGCCATTGGTGGTCATCGTATTTTATGCATGTCAATAGGTACTTCATATTGTCATATGATTCTTTCATATGAACTGCATACCCTACAGGAAGAGATGGTAAAATATTCCAATATGCAATAACACACAATGTTGAACTGTCTATAAACAATCTCCATTCTTCTGGGTTATAGTTTATATTTAAAGCCGCCAGTAAGCCGTTAATGTTACTGCAGAAAACCATGTTATTCTCCATATTGAAAAATGGTTCTAAGTCTTTGTGGCGTTTACGAAAAACACATACCGAAACATCGTCTTCTAACAAGTTCCACTGCTGCAGTCTTGATCCAAGTAACTCTGCCTTACATTTTGGAAGTTCTAAATCTCTTACAAGATCATTTAATTCTGACTGTGTTATTTTGTGCGGTTGGTGGCATGACGTGCTCGGTATAAAATCAGGATCTCTTGACGTTGATGGCATATCTTCTTCCTGACGAATCACTCGATCGCCATGATCTGATTCGCAAGTGTAGGATTCTGGGGGTTTTGGAATAGGATTTTCGTCACTGTGAGGCACAGGTCTCATCGCAGATGGTATGTTTGGGTAGTTAATAACCGATTTTTTTTCATCTTTGTAGGCTCTCTACAAACCATTGGGACAGCAAAGCGCATAGACCGTTTTTTGCCATTTAAACAGCTCCTCAGACTTGAAGCACATGTATTACAGCAGATGTGGGGTGCCCACTGTTTGTCTTGATCACCTAGTTTACAACCGAAATAAAGCTGATATGCCTTTGTTATTAGTGGAGTAATAAACCGTCTCTGAGACGCAAAAGTCACATCATCACACACGTAACAAAACTGATCTGGATTGTTTACACACTTTCGAGACATCTTGCATGAACGCTGTCAGCCAACTGAGGAAAAAATGGTTAATATAAAACAATATAATGTACACGTATGTATAACGTAACACAATCATGCCGATTACATCATCTTTCCTTGCCGAATATAAAAATGTAGCACGTGCATTCTTGTGAATTACAGTATATTAACATTGTCACAGCAGGAACACATGTAATTACCGTATCTCTAAAACTTGAACTAATATTGAAAAAATAAGTTTCATTCCGGTTTTAGCACATTGAAAATAGTAATATTTTGTTGATTTTATTTAGGATATTTTTTGGCTGTTGATCAGTGTAATGAGTGCCACGCTGTTGCCTTGTACTTATTCCCGGATTTTCTTCCACAATATCCAAAATTTCGTCTTCGACATTTAAAACGCATTGTGGGCAAACCCGACCCCCATCCACTCCACGTCTGGGGCCCAAATCTCCACTAGCACGTGCACGTGAAGTAATTGAACTAACTCAATGTTTCGTGATGTGGTTTGTGCTTATTCGGAAATCGATTTGCATACAAACGAGAAGCCGCGCGCGAATTTTGCCCCGCTTCTACGTACGCTAAAACAATGTCCACTAACTCCTCATTAGTGTACACATGGGCCATTTTTATTAATAAATATCTAAGAACATAAACACATAAAACACTTTTTGATTTAACACAAAAATCGACCTTTCTTCATTCAGATCACCCACGATACAGATTAAACCTTATTTACACGTTCTTGTCGGTATCAAAAAAATGAAAAATTCCTGGTATTTGGTTGTCGTCAGTTGTTTGGTACAACATTTGCTATAATAAATTATTAATGAGTGTTCTAATATCACGACGATGAACGCAAAATAAGATATTTATTTTTCAATTTATTATTGAAAATCAGGTTTATAGCTTAATTTCTGTAGGACTTTCATTAGATTTTTTTGAGAAATTTGTCGGATAAGATGAGAAATTAGGTTGGTGGAACGAGTAACCAGAGCAGAAAGCAAAAGTAGTTGACTTGAAAAATCGTTATATAAAAGCAACAATTAAATATGTGTACGTATCCATAATAGCATAAGTAACTGGTACGTCATCAACATCAGTCCGGTTCTGTTCAGAAGAGGGATTTACCCCAAGCGATGGCTGTCACTTGCAGTTCCCTTAGCGGCTGTTTGTAGACCCACTACTTAAGTTAATAAAATTGCAGAAAGAAAGGGTGATTTGCATTTAAAATGCTATTTTCGAGTACATCGTTAGGGGACACGGCCACTGTGTGGTGTTCGTCACCCGCAGCTTGACATTTCAAATGCGAAATCAGAGGCGTTATAATTTTTCATTTAGAGTTACAGATTACACAGAGTTTTACACAGAAACGAGAGTATACTATCCGGAAAGCAGTTAAGGCGCTGAATCCTAATCCGTGGACCAAATCTGTCAATTGGCTCTAGTTTCCGAGATATCATAACCTAAAAGTACAAAAATATTGATTTTTGCAGATAGGTTTATGTAGCATGGCGAATCATTGAAAAAACTCCATAGACATCATCACAATTTTTTTATCGCTGAGATGTGGCACTTTTAAATTTTTATTTTTTTTAACAAAAATTGAATAATAGGTCAATGTATTTGTATGAAATAAGATCTGCAAAATACTTAAAACTCACCTAGCCACAAGCCCGCAACCCAACATTGCCTATCAAAGTCAAGTTTAACGTTCAATCGCGGTTGTTTTTTTCTCATAAGAGCTATGCGTACTGAGTGAAGTTCAGAAAAATGAGATTTAACATATCG